TTTAAAAAAAAAAAAAAAACACCCAAATGATTTTCACTGGAACAATGGAGATAGCTGATCACCAGAGTTCCACATGAAACTACAAGGTGGCTTAGTCCTTAGTGGTTTATAGCTTCTACTCTCATATGTTCTCTTACCTCCTAGTCTTCCCTTCTTGTCTCCAAGAACCTTAGCTTAACTTCCTTAAAGTTTCCCTGTCTCTCTAGCATCTTTCCAAGCAATGCCTGCCCTCCTTCTAAGACACAGGTTCTCCTCCCCTCTTAGACCCTTACTGAAATGAAAGAGTTCCTTTCTAGTCTTGGAAACTACAGAAAAAAGACCTAAAGTTTCAATTCCAGGCAAATCATCAAAGATCAAGTTTGTTTTGGTAACTCATACATAAAATAAAATGAATCTAGAGTAATAATTATTTCTGCATATTTTATCCAGTTCCCCCATACATAATATATGGTTACATTAATTGAGGCAAGAAAATGGGATCTGGGAAACTAGTTTTGGTTAGATGTATGTTATTGTCAAGGTCGTAACTTTATATTGGATAGTAGATTTGTTATATTATTCAAGATAATTTTTGTCAATTAAAAAAAAGTCATCAGATGGTTTTAAGCTACATTTCTATATGAGCAAATACCCATTTCTGGTTATATATACTCCAAAGACTCAGAAAGCAAAACAAAAATTTTAATTAAAATTATAGTTACACATATTTTATCAATATTCAATAATTATTCCAGAATTAAGGTACTACCTCCAAATTTCTCCACTGCTTTCTCAACTGCATTACTGATTTGCTGTTCATCTCTCACATCGACAATGCATGGCAAGGCCTTTCCTCCAGCTGCTTCGACTACAAAGGATAAATAAACAAAAAAGACACTCAAATAGTAAACCATTCATTCTGATACAAAAGTCCAAAGAAATAAGTACCCTATTTTCAGAAAGTCAATATAAATAACTATGTCTTACAACTATTGGTGACTCCACCCTACAGTAGTACAGATTGACTAACCCATATCCAGCTTCAGGCTGGCTAGGCCAACTCTATAAAAAACACAAAAAGAGGAAGATAATTTTTAAAAATTATATTAAAAAGCAATAAAATGAAGGTAATTTTAAAAACCTTTATTATGAAAAATTTCAAAAAACATACAAAAATATAAAGAATAGTATAATGAACTACCATGAATCTTCAATGACTGTTAATGTTTTGCCAGTTTAATTTATCTACCTCCAATCCCATTGTATTTTTTGCTGGTGTATTTTAAAACAAATCCCAGTCATCACTTCACTCATCAATACTTCATATGTATTCCCCTAACATAACCACAATGCTATTAACATGACTAACAAAACCAGCAATATCAAGTGAGGTTGAACTTTTAAGCCCTCCTTCCTGGTACTATTGTGCCTAGCTAGCACAATGTCTTAAATATAAGCACTTGATAATTATCTGTGAACTGAGGGTTAAAATAATGACTTGTGAAAGGTGCAAAGAATAAATAACATGGAGAGCTTTTTCAAAGTGCTCACATCATCCACCTCTCCAATTCTCTCTACTTCCACTCCCCCATTCTCTGCTCAGATCCAAGAACCATTGTCCTCAGGAGACATGATTTTCAATGGGAGTCTCTCATATCACTCAAAAGTGCTGCGGGAGAAAAATGGTTCCCAATCACTGTTCCAAGGTGACAAAATACTTCTTTAAGCAGATAAAATTATTTTTATGGTAGCTTTCAGATAACTATAATTAAACCCTCCAGCAAATTCTCTACTTGTTGAAACCACAGTAAGGACGTTTCATGAAATGGCATTGTCAACTCACTTTCTTCAGCAGCAGTATAGATTGTGCCTGGAAGTTTGGGGTGTGCTTGGACGGTCTTCGCAGCAATGACAACATTTGCCCCATCCTTTGCTGCTTTCAATGCAATAGCTTTGCCAATGCCACGGCTTGCACCTGTGATAAAAAGTGTACATCCTGCTAGTTTCCTACAAAAGAACAAGTGGGACTTTATTAGAAACCTCAGTGTTTTACTTACTTAGCAGTATCAGGAACATATGTATTACTTTCACAGTATATAGGTTTCCACCTCTGTGAAGCTTTCTCTAAACCTTCCTCCCTTCCCAAATGATAGCTAATAACTCTACTGTGCTCCCACTGCACAATGATTTATAAATCATTTATTACAATGATATGTACAATGATAGTACATATGAATATACTATCAATTATTTATTCATTTTATTGTTTATGGACTTTGTCTAGGGCATATATGTTTACTGGTGAAACTAGTGGATTATATAGGACACTGCTGTAGATTAAACATGGTCACAAATCTTTGGCATTCCTTCCATCAAGAGTAGCATATTTTCGGAGACAGTCAGAAGCATGGTTGTGTGAAAGATTCCCTTGATCCCTTCCGCTGAAGTTACAACAAGTTGAACAACTATAATTCAACAAAGAATTCCCTGCACAACATACAAACGTGTCTGAGAGATCTGCACATCGAAACATCTGAAGGGGGTGAATGGGTCTCAGGGATGGAAAGCAATCGGGCTGCAGGGGCACTCTCTATAGCCCTGAGCATTCCTGCTTGAGTGATCAGCATATAGTACAGTTATCAAAACAGAGACCAAATACAGAAGTGCAACAGCTGTGTTCTGGCAGCCACCATTGCCAGGCAGAAAACAAAGCCATGGACCCTGGCTGCCTCCCTGCACCCTCCCAGAGCCAGCAGTGGGCCCCAGAAGAAACTACAGCAGTGAGTGTCTGGTTAAAGAGCAGAATACCTACAGCCCTGAGAACTACAGAGACAGCTCCCGAGTGGCAGATGCACACTGCGGCTAATCCTAGTGACAAGGGTGGAGGAGATACAGAAGTGAGGCAGCTGAGGTCTAGCAGTCGCCATTACTGGGAGAACAAAGCCACAAACACACAAGCAGCCTCTCCCAGCCCACCCCACCCACTCCCACCTAGGCTGATCCCAGTGGGGGCACCTGGGACACCTTAGGCAGAACAACACTGCATCTGGCTGCTGGGGTAGCACCAGGATTTCAGAGGCTTTGAACCCCATCATCCACCATATTCTCCCATAGGGGCGGTGCCTAAAGATCTAAGTAACCTGGTCACAGAGGAGAGGCCCACCTCCCCAGGGAATACAAGGCATTTTCCACTGCCCAGCACAGATCCAAGAAGCTGCAGCAGTGCAAAAGAAAATAAAACACTTGCACTTCAGCACCATCTACTGGAAAACAAAAGAAAAACCTCTTCTAATCAACCTGCTGAAGAGGTTTCACTCTTAAAAAAAAAAAATAGTTCATTCTCATTAATGCCTTGGCAGAGAAATAATCCATCAAATAGCATGAACAACCAATGTAACAAGTCAACTCAGAAAGAAAATGAAAAATATCCAGAAAATAAACTTAAAGACATGGAAATATGTGATTTTAAATGACAGAGAATTCAAGACTGCAGTTTTGAAAAAACTCAACAAGATGCAAGAAAAATCAGATAGGCAGTTTAAAGAACTCAGAAATAAAATCAATAAACAAAAGGAACACTTTATCAAAGAGACTGAAATTTTAAAAAAGAACCAAATAGAAATTCTGAAGCTGAAGAACTCAATAAAAGAGATGAGCAATGAAATAGCGAGCTTAGGAAATACAGCTGACCAAGTGGAGGAAAGAATTAGTGATACTGAAGATAGACATCTGGAAATGACACAGATGAAGAAGAGAGAGACTTGAGCATTAAAAAAAAAGAAAAGAAAAGAAACAACCCTACAAGAACTATCTGACTCCATCAGAAAGAACAATATAAGAATGATGGGTATACCAGAAGAAGAAGAGAGGAAGAAGGCAACAGAGAGCCTATACAAACACATAGTCAACAAGAATTTCCCAAACCTAAAAAAAGAACAGGATCCTCGAATCCAAGAAGCATACAGAACACCTAATTATCTCAATACAAAAGGGCTTTCTCCAATGCACATTATTTTAAAACTGTCAAAAATTAATTACAATGAAAGACTTCTCATGGCAGCTATGGAAAAGAAGATGGAAACCTATAAAGGAAATCCCATTAAATTATCATCGGAATTTTTCAGCAGAAACTCTACAAGCTAGGAAGGAGTGGAATCAAATACCAGCTGAGCCATCCTGCCACCTGTTGGCAGCTCAGCAACAGCTCAGCTTGGATGCAGCGTCACTGGCCCACGTGGGAATTGAACCGGTGGCCCCATTGCTCAAAGCCCGCACTCTCAAGCCAACTCTTTTTTTTTTAAGATTTTTATTGGAGAATTGGAGGAGGGGATAGCGTTGGAGAATCAGGGAAGGGGAACAGACAAGTTGCTGTCCTTTTGTTCTTCAGTCTAGTTGTGGAGGATGTTTCTTTACTGGCCCATGTTGGTATTATTATTGCGCTTTTTCCAGGTGAGGCAGATCGGTCGCCAGCCATTGGATGGCCACTCACAGCAGCTCACGGCAGCTCACACTGGCTGCCGGCTGCTCACGCTGGATGCCAGCCACTCACGGTAGCTCATGGCAGCCCACTACAGCAGGGGCTTCAGCCTACACCATCACTGGTGACTCACGGCTGCCCAGCTCCAGGTTGAACTGTTGTTCCCCATCTTAGCTGTAAAGGGCGCAGAGTCACTGGCCCTCATGTGGGATCCGAACTGGGGCCTTCCTGCTCAGGGCTGGTGCCCCAATCCAACTCTTAACCAACACGCCACTCGGCCGGCCCTTAAGCCAACTCTTAACCATCTGAGCCACTCGACCGGCCCCTCAACGGCATTTCTTAAAGATACAGGAAAAGAAATCAATTTGTGTGAAATCACAAAAAAACCCATATAGCCAAAGCCATCCTGAGAAAAAAGAACAAGGCCAGAGGTATTACACCTCCTGACTTGAAATTATACTACAAAGCAACAATAATCAAAAAAGCATGGTACTGGCAGAAAAACAGGCACACAGACCAATGGAACAGAATTGAAGACAAAGGAATAAACCCACATATATATATAGGCAAATAGTTTTTGACAAAACAGCCAAAAACATACAATTGAGAAAAGAAGGCCTCTTCAATAAGTGATGCTGGGAAAATTATAAAGACATATGCAAAAGAATGAAACTAGACTGCTACATTTCATCATACACCAAAATTAACTCAAAATAGGTCAAAGCCCGTAATATAAGACCTGAAACAATAAATTGCATAAAAGAAAACATGGGTACTAAACTGTGGACCCACATCTTTTCTTTGCTTTATTCCTGCCTGGGTCCTTCATTCTTTTTAACTTTTTCCAACTTTTTATTTGTAAATAATTTCAAACAAAGAAAAGTTAGAAGAATAAGAATAGTACAAAGAATACACATACATCCTTTACCCAGATTCATATATTGTTAACATTTTACTCACTGCTTTAGCATTTATACTCATTCTCTGTTTCCCTTTATCTTTTTGTATATCTCATTTTTTCTGAACTACTTAAAAGTAAGTTTCTTTGTTTGTGTTTTTTTTCCATGACCAGTTATCAACTTCAGTAAATGTAACATTGATACAATAATTACTTTTATCTAATACACTGTCCATATTTTAATTTTGTCAATTGACCCAATAATGACCTTTAGAGTAATTTTTGCCCTCCAATACAGGATTCAGGTTAGGATCAGATAGTGCATTCATTTGTCATATCTCTTTAGTTTTCTTTAATCTAGAACATTTTTACAACTTCTCGTCTTTCACGACATTGACTTTTTAAAGAATACAATGCCACACATTTTTTAAAATAGAATGCTTCTCACATTGGATTCGGCTGACACAGCCTCATGATTAGATTCAGATTATTTATTCCCAGACAGAATATGTGATATTTTGTCCACAGTGTATCACACCTGGAAGCACACAATGTCTATCTGTACTTACTGGTAATGTTAATTTTGATAATCCAATCATGGTGTTATCAGATTTCTCCATTGTATAATTACTCTTTTTTCCCTTGCAACTAATAAACAATCATTGTAAAGACACGTTTAAAGGCCATTATTAAACTTTTATTATGAAATTTTCAAATATATTCAAAAATAGAGAAAATAGTATAACAAGCTCCCATGTTTATTTAACAATTCAACAATTATCAAAATTTTGAGCAATTATTAGAAAGCATCTCAGAGGTCATATAACTTCACCTATAAATATGCATCTTTAATTTTTTACATAACAATATCATTATTATAACTAAACAAATTAATAATTCCTCAATATCACTCAGTACCTACCCATATTCAAAGTTTCATAACTATCTCATATCCCAATTATTGCTTTAAAATGCCATATCTCTTTGCCCTTGGTCTAGCTGGATTGATTCCCAGTAGGATAAAGGACATCCTTCTCATTCAGAGTCTCAGGCATTGCAGAAAGACAAGCTCCTCTTAACCTGAAGCCTGGGTCTGTACTACTAAGGAACTCCTCCAGCTTTAAAGCATCAGAACCAGAGTATAGAAGGGAGAAAGAGGGAGGGAGAGGAGGTCCCAGCTTGCCAAAGTAAAGTTAACCTACACTATAATTTACCAAAATTCTCTGGTACCTCAAAATCAAAACAAAGGTGATAACATTTTTAACTATTTAAAAGAAGAAAATCACTTTAAAAAACCTATACAAGCTATTCTGAAGTTCATCTGCAAAAATAAACATCTAAGAATAGGAAAATTCTGAAAAGGAATCCAAATGAGCCAGGTACTAGCAGTCCCAACTATTAATATGTTTTATAAAACCAGAGCAATTAAAATGGCTTGGTACTGGTACATGAAGAGACAGACCAAAGTAATAGAATTTAAAAATCAAGAAATAGACCCCTATATATACAAGAACTCGGTATATGGTAGAGGTGAAATTTCTGACAGAAAGGAAAAGGTAACTAGTCAGTCAATCATGCTGGGGCAACTACAGCCAGCCACCTGAACCAAAATGAAGGAGGCTTACTAACGCAATTCCCATGCCAAAATAGTATGTAAATTAGTATTTCATCTCAGGTGGATGAAAAATTTGAGTGCAAAAAAAAAAAAAATACAAATACTAGATGAATATTTACCAATTTAAAAAAATCTTCGGGCCGGCCGAGTGGCTCAACCGGTTAAGAGCTCGATTGGGAGTGCCAGCTCTGAGCTCGGATCCCACATTGAGGGCCAGTGATGCTCGCCCTCTACAAGTTAAGATGATGAACAACAGCTCCACCTGGAGCTGGGCTGCTGTGAGTCCCCGGCTATGGCGTAGGCTGCAGCGGGGCTGCAGTGGGCTTCCGTGAGCTACATGAGTGGCTAGCAGCCAGTGTGAGCAGCAGGCAGCTGGTGTGAGCTGCCGGGAGCCGCTGTGAGCAGCTGACCAATGACCAGCGACCGATTGCCTCAGCCGGGAAGAGCACAATGATCATACTAACATGGGCCAGTGAAGCGACATCCTCCACAACTAGACTGAAGAACAAAAACAGCAATTTGTCTACCTGTCTGTTCCCCTCCCCCAATTCCCCAATTTAATTAAAAAAAAAAATCTTAATTTGAGATGGCCTTATAGGTTTGCACAAAAACCTTAAATGATTGATAACTTTGACTCAATAAAAATACATATCTGCATGATAAATTGTATAACTAAAGTCAAGACAGTGTAAAAAACTGAAAAATATTTGTGATACACATAATATAGAACGAATTTTTAGAAATAGAGCTCTCAGAGACCAATCAAAAACCTAATTGCACAAAACCAGGCAAAGAAAAAGATACACAGATGGCTTTAAACCAGGATTTCTCAATCTGCACTACTGACATCTTGGACGAGGTAATTCTTTGTTGTAGAGGACTATTTTCTATATCATAGGGTGTTTATCAGCATCCCTGGATATCATTAGATATCAGTAACACTCCCTCAATTGTGATAGTCAAAAATGTTCCCAGATATTGCCAAATATCCTATGGGGGGGCAGGAAAGGGAGGGTCAAAAGTGCTCTTTGATGAGAACTACTGCTTTAGACATACAAAAAGATCCCCTACCTCACTTGTGATTCAAATTTTTACTATAACAAGGTTCTACTTTTTCTTTAGATTTTTATTATCAAAACAAACATTTTTATTAACAAATATTTTGCTGTTTGCCAACATACTGGATTAGGAAACATTATTCATTCTTTTGGGTATGCAACCTTTTTGGAGAGCAATTAATATTAGCTATCAAAATTTAAAGTGCATTTACTGCTTGACCCAGCAACTTCACTTCCAGGAATTTATCATATAGATACACTCAAATATGTGCAAACAGGTGAAACAAGGATAATCACTGAAGCAAAAATGGAATAACAAAAAACTAGAAATGATCTGGCAACCAATGATGGGGAGGTGGTTAACTAAATTATGGTACATCAATAGAATACTATGCAACCATTAAAAAGGAGGAAAATCTACATGTATTGAAAAGGTGTGTTCTAAGACATATTAGGTAAAAACACCAAGGCCCAAAAGAGAATTTATTACTATTAAAAGTAGTGTGTGTATGTGTGTGTGTTTAATGTGGTATACAAAATGTTTATAAATGCACAGAATATCTTTGGAAAAATACCACAGCGTTACTGGAGGACTGGAAGTTAAGGGTAAAGAAACTCACTTTTTACACCTTTTTGAGCTGTTTAAGTCTTTTGGCCCTGTGCTCGCATGTTTCAAGCAAATTACATAATGGACATGCCACTCAGTTCAAGACACCCATACTTTATAGAAACAAAATAAAATGAATGGTGGCTGCCACGCAGTGGGATAAAGGGTAAAGAGTTGCTTAATGAGTATAGAATTTGTTCTGCAAATTGAACAAGTTCTAAAGATTAGTTGTGCAACAGTGCAAATACACTTAACACCACTGAACTGTACACAAAAATAGTAAGGATGGCAAATTTTGTTATGCCACGCAGTGGGATAAAGGGTAAAGAGTTGCTTAATGAGTATAGAATTTGTTCTGCAAATTGAACAAGTTCTAAAGATTGGTTGTGCAACAGTGCAAATACACTTAACACCACTGAACTGTACACAAAAATAGTAAGGACGGCAAATTTTGTTATGTATAGTATTTTACAATTAGAAATCTTTTTAAAGTGAAAATGAACAACAAAAGATACCCATACTTTATTAGTTTAATTTGTTACTAATTTGAAAATCGCTTTTTAAACACCTCATTATTATTATTCCAGAATTGGGCGTTCCGAACGTGAGGACACTCATTAAACGCACGGTGAGGTGACCTTTCACCTAGAATTTGCATGACTACATCAAGACACGCAGCTATTGCTAAAACCCAAGATCTGGCCTGCCATATGGGTGGCGGGGTACTCTGTATCCTGGAAGAGGTTTTTCTATGGCTGCCACCCTAAAGTATACAACTTTGGGTTACTTTGGCCGAGTTACTGCAGATTCTAGGGACACTGCCTCTGGAGCGACAGACCAGCGTTCCAGAGGGCGCGCAGCAGCTTTAGTAACCCTCTCACCTCTGGGGGCCCTCCCTTTCCATCTCCCGGCTATCCATTCCCGCCCCACCTAGTCGCACACTCCGCGCGGCCTCGTCTTTCCCCGCCGCGCCCGATATCCCCTTACCCGGTGTTGGGTAACATGACTTTTGTAGATCAGAATCGGTGGTGACAACAGCTTACAGTGAAGAGGAGTCTTACTCTCCGTATTTAGCCCCGCCCCAGACCCCGCCCCCGAAACTCCACCTCGAGGCCTGCAGGGAATGGACGCTCGAAATCAGGGGTTGCTGAGGGCGCCTGCGCACGCAGTGGGCGTTTTCACCACCCCCTTGCCTGGCCCCCGGAAAACTGGCTCTTTGCGCAGGCGCTGTGAGAGACAACTCCGCCCCGCCCCTCTCGGGGGGCCTACGGTGACAATCGGTTTCCCGCCGGCGTCTAGCTTATTGGGCGCGTCAGCGGGTACGTACGCTTTTTCCGGGCGGGTGAAGGCTTCCTCGTGGCAGCGCTGTGTTCCTTTGCCAGTCGGGTGGCCGTTTGAGTCGTGCGTTAGGAACCTTGAGGACTGGGGTGCGGCTTCTTAGCCGACTGACCTGGGAATGCTTTGGATCTGGATTTTCTCTCCCTCCACTCCCAAACCTGGGCGCCTGTCGGACTGCACGCGCTCCCTCAGAGATTCCCCTTAAAGAACGGTTTTCCTCGCAGATGCATTTTCTGCCAGAAACCAGCCAGCGTCGCATTTCGATTCTCCCATGGAATCTGGAGTAAAGCCAGCCGACCTCGGGGGTCTGTAGATAGCACTGGTGACGGGCAGCTTCTGGATCAGAGCTCGTTGCAATAGTTGCGCCAAAGAATTCATAGTTAACTCTGGTTTTCCCACTCTTAGCCGATATCTCGGCGAGGCAGCTCCCAGTCTCAGTGCTGGAATAAGGTGAATTTGGGGATCCAGTATTGCTTTTGGTACTGTACCTTGGACATAACTCAGCTGCCCTCATGAACTGAAGACTGGCATATTTTGGGGGAGACATGAAGAAATTGCTTTCTATTGTGAAGGGGTAGAATAGGACGATGAGGAGGTTCATTATGAGGACTTGTTAAAGAAACTAGCCTGGAGATGGGGTATGTACTCTCCCTTTTATTGCAAGCCCTAAATAGCTCTATTTACTCATATCACTTGCCATTCTCTTATAGGGATTTAAATTTGTGATCCATGATATATGGTGCTTAGAGACTCTGGAGGACTTTACTTATTCAACAAATATTAGCTCCTACTATGTGCCTGTCACTGGAGATACAGCAGGACAATAAGGACAAAGTCTATGCCTATGTGGGAGGAATAAGGAGTAGCCAATGTATTCTTTAGGCTGTTACAGAAATACAACGGGTGTCAAAAAAATGTATACAAGTGTGCACTTTGGTCAAAGTTGCTGAAGCAGTAGTTTGCCGTAATCAGAAGTGTCTGGACACTGATGGTAACCACTTTGAGCACTTCTTGTATTGTAATTGCAGAAATCAAACGTGACTTGTAGTCATCTTTTGTTATCGGTGTATATTGAATATTACAATTTTAACAATTTTAATAGTTTTCCTTTTTTTAAATGTGTATACATTTTGGGGGGCACCCTCTGTATTATGTTTCAAAAAGAATGTTTATAGGGACTGTTAGATGAAAAAACTTAACCACTCAAGAAAATGAAAAGGCAACCTACAGAATGGGAGAAAATATTTGCAAATCATATATCTGAAAAGGTCTAGTACCTAAAATATATAAAGAACTCAACAACTCAGCAACAAAAAGATGAACAACCCAATTGAAAAATTAGTGAAGGATCTAAATAGACATTTCTCCAAAGAAGATATACAAATAGCTAGCAAGCTCGCTTAAAGATGCCCAACAGCATTAGTTATTAGAGAAATGCAAATCAAAACTGAAAGGATCTCAGCCCGGACCCTAGGCCGGACAGACTCACTTTTAAAAATTATACTTCAGTTACTCCAGCTAGACTCTAAGCAGAACTTCCCGTTAAGACAATAAAACGCCTAGCTTTACAAGAAATGGGTTGTAGCAGAAATATTAAGAATGTTTTGCAGAAGTAGTTTTGCCCAACTGGCTTAGACCATTTCACAGGAACTAACAGCTCTTTTTGCTTCTGTACACCTGCTTTGCTTCTGCTGGGGAATAAAAGGTTAAAGAACAACATTCCTCAGGCCTTGCAGTTCCCCCTTCCTCTCCCCGCCTTCATGTTAACATTTCAGGAGGCCTTGAAGCAAACTAACTTGATCAACCGGGTGGCGGGTGGTGATGTACTGTTAAGACACCTAAACATAACAACACTCTTGCAACAGAAGAATGCGGTTTTAACTAAACAACTACACATTCTTTTTAGCTTCTGTAATTTACTTTACGTTTAACCCCCACCTTATAAAAACCCTACCCACTAAGACCTCGGGACCGTTTTCTCCTTAGTTGGAGGGGCGGTCGCTGAGCTCAACTTAATAAAATCTTCGGAACTTTAAACTTTAATTTGACATCCAGCCTCTTTATTAATTATCTGGACCCCACAAAACCAAAATGATTCCACTTTACACCCAATGGGATGGTTATAACAGAAAAGGGAAACTAAGTGTTGGCCAGAATGTGGAGGAATTGAAACTGGCATACATTGCCAGTGGGAATGTAAAATGGCACAGCCACTTTGGTAAAGTTGCGCAGTTCCTCAAAAAGATAATCATTGTTACCAGCTAATGTGTATCCACATGCAATTACATTCTTATATACATACCCAAGAGAAATGAAAGTATGTTCAGAATAACCACCAGATGGCACTGTTATTTTAAAATTCAAAATATACCACAAAATGTTAATTTATTAACAATATTGTGATAATTTATAATCTGACTTGGATTAAGGCAAAAATAGTATGAGGTTCTCTACAGGACTCCCATAAAGGGAAAATAAGAGGAGGTAAAATTTTAAATTCCTTAAAGAAAATAAAACTGCATCATTAAAATAAGATGTGATATTCTAATTCATTTTATATTATTTAAAGTATTATAAAATAGTCAAACTTGTCTTCACTTGTTTTGTGACTTCTAAAATCCATTAAGTTTAATTCTCCAGTATTAAAAAGTAATTTTCAGACACATAAGAGATTGAAAATGCCGACTTAAATTGAAATATCAAAAGATGACATTGAAAACAACTTTAATATTAAATGATCAGATAAGGACTCTTCTACCCCGATCTTATATAAGAATATATTTTCTAAATACATAATGCAGTAACATTCACATTTGTTGACACAACCCACATAAGGAAATAAATTTTCATCTAGACACAGTACACCCAGTTTGTTCTATTTTATTTGAATCTGTTATAGCCTATCCTATTTTTTTAAGCTTATCTTAACCAACTAAATTATTTTGATTACTCACTAATTGATCATAACCTACCATTTGGAAAACACTGCTTTTGCGTATTGTAATTTGCCATTGTGATTTCTCAACTTGCCTTATAAGATATTGTAGGCTTCTCTAGTCAAATATAAAATTACTAATTAATGGTCAGAAGCCAACAGAATGATGTGACAAACAGCAGAAGGATACTTTCGATGGTTTTGGAAGAGTTGGGGATCTCGAAACTTTCCATTTCCTTCCTCCACAAGACAGTGCACTCTGGTTCAGGTTAAATGGGGAAATTCTTGGGGATTTGAGGGTGTGGCAGTTGTTTCTGATAATGTACCAAATCTTCCCCATAGGACCCTTAGCTTTGCCTTTTGTTGCTCAATGAATTATTTCCAGTCATTATTTTAATTAGTAACTAATTGTTAAATATTAACCTCATATTTTAATGTGTATATCTTTCTGATAATATAATACATGATTCCAACAGCCAGAGAAAGTGAAAGTTTCTAACACTGCCCTTCAGAGATAATCATTGTTAACAGTTTGGCATGTATCCTTTAAGACTGTGACATTTTTATATAGATTTTGAACATTTTTAAAGCATAGAGTAGATATATACTATATTGTTTTGGAAACTGTTTTTTGGGTTTTTTTTAATGTATAACGGACATCTTCTGAAGTTTACATTTAAAAGTTTATTTTAACGCTTAAAAAATAGGTTCATAGTTTTCTTTTATATGAATGTACACCATATTTTTACCATTGTCATTTTTGATGGACATTTGCTTTAAAATTGTCTCTATGATAAACAAGATTGCAATAAAAGTTTTTGTGCATACATCATTGTTCACTAATCATTATATTCCCCTATAATACATTCCTAGAAGTGAGATGGTTTGTTTAATGGCTATACACATTTAACACCCCTTAGCAAGGTTGTATTAATAATTTACACCAGGATTTACCAGTCTTGCCACTATTAACCTTTTGGGTTGGATAATCCTTTGTTGTAGGAATCTATCATGTGTATTGTATGTTTACCGGCATTCCTAGCCTGTTCCCACTATATGCTATAGCCCCTCTCTCCCAATTTTCTTTGTTCATTGTGGTAAAATATACATAACATAAAATTTACTGTATTAACCATTTTTAACTGTATACTTCAAAAGCATTAAGTACATTCATAATCATGCAACCAACACCACCATCCATCTCCAGCCCTTCCAGGTTTGACAACCAAAAGTGTCTCCAGAAATTTCTAAATGTCTCCAGAAAATTTCTAAATTTCGCCTGGAAGGCAAAATTACCTGGTTGTTTATACCATCATAGAGGCGAATGAGGAAAACCAAGTGTCAATGTCATTTAAAAAAAAAAAAAGAGTTGAGGATTTCTAATAGGTTAAAAAAGACTAAAAAGACATTACAACTAAATGCAATACATGATCCTGGCCTGGATCCTGTATAGAAAAAAAAATGCTATGAAGAATACTATTGGGGGCTGGCCAAGTGTCTCAGTTGGTTAAGAGCTCGCTCAAGAGTGAGTGAGCAACAGCAGTCTGATGCCCAGCCCAAGCTGAGCTGCCAACAGGTGGCAGGATGGCTCAGCTAAAAAAAAATAATAAAATAAAAATACTATTGGGTTGTCGGAAAAGTCATGACTTACTTTTTCTGCTTTTCGTTGAAAAAAATGCATCATGACTTTTCCGACAACCCAATATTAGCACTGTTGACACATTGGAATATGTACTATATATTAAAGTATTGTGTCAATGATAAACTTCCTGAATTTAATAACTACTGTGGTTACATAAAAGAGGTCTGGT